GGAGTTCTAGGGGCCAAGATCTACTCCAAGGAGGGCAATGAGGACTTGGAGGACCATAAGGAGCACCGACCTGTGATCCTCCTGCCTGAGACCTCAGTCCTGCTTCCTGGCTAGGCCAGTCATCAACAGTGTGTACAGGGGACCACTGTGTGTGGACTCTACTCTAGGTGTGGGGGTTCTGCAGCCTACTAGGGTTTAGATTTCAGAATAGGAAATGGGCACCGTATGGCAGGTACGTCTGGAACATCATACATGTGATATCGTGTCAGTGTAAGGGGCTATGACGGGAAATAGAGCTGGACAAGCCACCCAGAGTGACAGGGAGGGAGCACTGCCAGGAGTATGTTGGACTTCCCTAAGGAGATGTTGAGGTCAGTCTCAGGCAGGGATGTCAGAGATTTTCCTGGATAAATCCTTCGGGAGAAGGCTTTGGTCGCCTGAGGAGGGACCACTTAGCTGCATGGAGGGAGAGATCGGAGCTCAGTCCTCAGGTGGAAAGAAGAAAGAAACCCAATATTTCTTACTCACCCTCTGTGGTCTGGCATTCTGTTCTCATTTAACGCTGACGACTCCCTGTAAGATGGAAAGTCTTACCTCCATTTCCTGATGGAGGGGAACAGGCTCCCAGAGGATGGGCAGCCACAACGGTACCCCATTTTTTTTTCTGTTGCTCACCCCCTTCCAAGGACTCAAATTGCTTTCCAAAATTCTCTGGTGACCTGGGACTGACTGAGACAGACAGGAAGAACTGCTGTAACCTGTGGTCCTAGGGTCAGGGTGGGCCCAGGCCATGAAAGACTGGTGACCGGACAGCTGTTCTCAGGTTCCAGCATCTTGGTGGAAAGTCAAGGTCGTCAGTGCTGGGCAGAGGCATCCTGCCGTCCCTGCTTGCTGGTGCCAAGGCCAACTTGGGTCACCTGGGCCTAGGTCCTGCCCTCTGGGGGTCTTCTGGGCCCTCCCAAGGGAACCACCTGGGCAAGGAGGGGAGGGGAGCCAGAAGCCACACACACCTTATCCTCAGCTAAACTTCGGATTGTTGTGGAGATTTAAGTCACTCACTCAAGAGGATGCCCACTTAACCAGGATCCCCAAAGATTTTGACAGCTCAGTACCAAAGGCACCCACTACCCGCTGCATAGAGCAGGCAGGATGGGACTACCTCGCTCGCCTGCTGACTTCCCGCCTCACTATCAACTCCACCGCCAGGGGGCGCGCCAGGGTGGCGCAGGAGAGGCAGGGAGCCCTGGAGAAGACACCTGTTTGCCTTTGTGTGTTCGATTTGTCGCTCACCTACGTTGTGCTTACCTGGTGCAGGTCATGGGTTTCCTGCATGTCCAGGACTCTACATTTATGCCAGAGAAGGGAGCTGGACATAAGAGAAATCTTGTCCAATTCATTTCTGTGCCCACCACTCACTGTGGTCCTCCTGCTTCCAAAGTGCCCACTATTGTCCAACCTTGCAGTGACCTCCAAGGAGCTCGTTTAAAATGTTCTGGAGTTCTTATACCGCTTAGCAGAAATTTCAAAGCCCCTCTCTCCGGGTGAGCGGTCTTGGAGACCCCTATGCGCCCCCCTCGTGGTGTTCCGGTGAGTTCCTGTTGTAGGCCTTTGGACCTTGGCACTTGCCGTTTCCCTTGCCTGCAGTGTCTTTTCCCTCTCCCTTCATCCTCCCTAGGCTGGTAGGCTCCAGGCTCCAGCCCCTCCAACGCTTCCCCCCATATGCCGCCCCTCGCAGCCCCTGGGGATATTCCAAGCAAAAATGAATGGCACTGTCAGTGCCTGGATTGGCGACTTCCTTCTCCCTCCCAGCGACAGACGGGTAGCCCTTTGAGGGCGAGCGGGCCTGGCCGCCGTATTCTTTGTCTAGGAGGTGCCGCGGCAGGGGGGTCCGGTGGAGCGGCGCTGAATACGCTGCTAGCGGCAGACTGCGCGCCCCGGGGAGCGCACATCAAAAGGAACCACAGGCCAGACACAGAGGTGGGGGTGGGATGGGGTCCCCATCCCAGGTCTAAGTTCCACGCCATTCACACACACTACATGAAGTGCTTCCTACGTGCCACCTTTTTGCCCCCAGGTCCCCGGCCCTTGTTGCCTTCTCCGCCCCCATTCAAGAGACCATCCTCCCATTCCGGGCGGAGGCCTCCGGGTCCACCGCGCTGACTCCTCCACCCCGCCCACCCTTGCTGGCTTTGGAGTGGATTTAACTCTTTCTCCACCAAGTGCAACCTACCCTGAGGTTCGGGGCGCCTATTAGATGTTTCTATTTGTGACTCGTAGCTCAGCGGCGCCCTCCCTGCCCGGGGAAGGGACCATACTTCGGTTCCCACCAGCAGCGCTGGGCGGGCAGGAGGAAGGAAATTAAGCTTGTGTTGAAGGAAGGACACCTGGCAAGGGAGAGGAAGGGGCTTAGGAATCCCCTCCTCTGGGGAACTTTCAAGTTGGGGGAAATCCCCACACAGGCCTCCATTCTCCCAGCCTCCTGCCGTCATGCCTTCATCTGACAGGTTCTAGTCCTCTCTGCCTCTATTCCCCAGGCTTCTGGGCCAGCAGGCTCCTGGATTCACCCTCTTATCCATTTGTTCCTTGACCACTGAACACCAGCTGGGTGTTCACAGTATTCCAGGCAGCCCAGAGGAGGCATCTGAATACACACAGCCCTTCATGAAATGACCAGTTTTGCCAAGGCCAACCAGGGTGGCTTGCTGGGCATATCACAATCAAACCACACACCACCTAAAGCCACTGGGATCTTATGCTCTTGCTTCCTAGGGCTGGCAGTTGTGGAATATCTTGAGGCCCTAAATCACTTCAAGAGCCCATCTAGTTCAACCCCTGCCTTCCCATTACATTGTATCCACGGTGGTTGGTGTCTTGGTGGTCAGGGAAGGCAGTCTCCCCAGCTCTCAGAAAGTTGGTTATGGGGCTCTGAAACTCCCCAGGTGTTTTTTGATTGTTTGTTTTGGGCAGAATTTGCACTCCAGCAGGCAGCTCTTTTCAGAAAACCACCTGGAAGCCCATGGGAAAGACAGCACTCCTCCAGGTAGGTTCTAACAGGCTTTGATCCATGAGGGGTGTGTAGAGGGCTCTCTTCCTGCAGCCCTGGTTGTGGGGTTCTGCATTCTGCAACAACGGCAAGCCCACTACCACCTCCTTTGCAGGTGAATCCAAAACAGGGAGCCTCAGAATCAGCCCAGCCCTTAGGGCAACTGTGGAGATGCCCGTCTCTGCAGCTTCCACCATGCCCCCTGCTCTTTAGTAGGTTCAGGAATTTTCTTTCCTTGCTGCTCCTAGGCCCTCTCTGCCTTTCCCCTTCTCTTTTCTTCCCTTTCTTCCTTCTGTTGGTAGCTCCTCACCCCCGCCCCAGCTCTTCTCTATTTTTGTCTCTGGGGCGTCTATCTCTCCACTTGGTCTCTCCCTTTTCTCCCCTTCCCTCCTCTCTTTCATCTCTCCCCCCACCCCACCCCCTCCAGTCAAGTACTGGGTTAGGAACGCAGCAGAATCCGTGACAAGCCCAGGCGGCTCTCCCGACCCTTGGTGCCCCCAGGGGCCAGTTCCTTGCTCTCCCCGCACCAGCAGCGGCCCTGTGCGGAGATTGGGCCAGCAGCAGCGGGTTCGAGCTGTGGATACCAGCAGCCCAGATCAAAGACCAGGAATGTCTTGTCCTCCTCCTTCAGCCTTGCCCCCAACCTCCCAGTCCCAAGGAGAGCCCACCATTCCCAGCCTGGGCAGGATTCAGGTGGGCTTCTTCCCTGCCCTTTCTGCCAGAGTTCCCCAAACTTCCCTGCCTCTCATCGGCCATATTTCCTTCACCCCCAAGTCAGGGCTGCACTAGAACCCTGAATCCTCCCACAGCCCCAGGGAAGGGGTTAGGTGGAATCACCCAGGTGATGGGATGTGTCCCCCAAATCTCACTGCGGCCTGAGACCTAATTCCTCTGCTCTGGAGAGGAAAAAGAAAGAGGACCCTCCGGCCCTGCAGGGGAACTGGAAGGATCCCCCCCCCCCATTGGGAGGGATGGGGTATTCGGATCAATGTGCTGTCAGCTCAGGATAAGAGCTTAATCATCAAACCCCAGGATACACCTCCCCATCAGCAGAAGGGCCCAGGGATCAGGACCGGAGAGTTGGACTGAGGGGGGGGGGGTCCTGGAGGCTCCCAGTAGCTCCTGGGCAGGGCGGCCACGTTTCATTGACTCCAAATGGTTCGACCCCAAGATCCAAAAGAGGCTGCGGGTCGGGCTTCTGAGGTCGGGCCTGAACGCCTTGAGGAGGAGAAAGTGACCCGACTCCGCGAGCAGGAAATGCAACTGGCCGCTGGTGTCAGTTGCAGGAAATGCAAAGGCAGCAGGAGGTCCCGATACCAATCTGATCCCTGACAAAAGACTCAAATGACACTCGGCTCTGTCCCCCGGCGCCGCCCGCAGCCAGACCTTCGAGCTTCCGCGGACTCTCCCGCGTGCCTCTCGGACACCCGGGAAGCGACCTCCTGCGGCCGGGTGGCGGGGCCGGCTGGCTGGCCCGCGGGCTGGGAAGGCTGGAGACTGGGAGGGGTTGCATTTCCCAATCTCCGGTCCTGACGGCCCGAGCTGGGGTTCTGGAAACATCCCTGTGCTTTCTACTGTCGATTCCTCGCGGGCCTAAGTCCCAAGGGATCAGGGTCTCCCCACTGAAAATGTGCCACTCAGTAATGCCCACACCAACCCGTCACCACGTGAACGCGGGGTCAAAACTCGAGCTCCCTAAACCTGACTTGCGGGGGATTGCGGCCGTCCTAGGCCAAGAGAAAGTCCGGTGTGCCGTGTCCCCTCAAGGCCCCACTGTGTCCGGGGCGCGGGCTTTGCCCAAGTTTGCTGGGCGATGCCCTTCCCGGAGCCGGAGTTGTGGGCCGGGCGGGAGGGGCGCGTGATTGACAGACTGAACTACAGACTCATCTCTTACCTTAGGCCGCGGGCGCTGATTGGCTGCTCGCTGACATCCTCAAACCCGGCTGCTCCGCGCTGGGCTCGGGAGGGGGGCGGCTGCGGGTGGAGGTGCGCTTCTGACAAGCCCGAAAGTCATTTCCAACCTCAAGTGGACTTTGTTCCAACTATTGGGGGCGTCGCTCCCCCTCTTCATGGTCGCGGGCAAACTTCCTCCTCGGCGCCGCTTCTAATGGAGCCCCACCTGCTCGGGCTGCTCCTCGGCCTCCTGCTCGGTGGCACCAGGGTCCTCGCCGGCTACCCAATTTGGTGGTAAGACTCGCCTCTTGTCTGCCCGCGGCCCGATCTCTCCGCCGCGCCCGGGGGAGGTGGGGGGCGCTGGTTCGGGGGTGGGCGGCGGCAGGGCTGGGGCTCCTTTCTCCTTGCCTCTCTCCAGTCCCCCAGCTGCCCACCCCTCCTGGATTTCTGCTGGTGTCGCCTTCAGAATCCAACTCCTGGTTTCTCCGATAATCACCATTTTCCCTGCTACCCGCCGCAGAGGCTGGAGGACTTTCTCCGTCTCTGAAGGTCTCTCATTTATGATTCCGACCCTCCACCCATCCCAATCTGAGGGTGGCTGAAGACCCTCCATTTGCTTGCAGTTGGGTTTCTGGAAATCCAGCGCTGTCCCTGGGGCCCAGCCACTCCTCTTCTCCATTTTGGGGTCTTCATGGGCAAAATCATCCTGTTTCTTCATTGCCACCCTACCTCCGCAGCTCCTTGGTCAAGAGATTTCCCCACAATAACCCCGTTTGCTTTCCTATTTCAGACCCCAAAAGCTGCCCAAGGGGGTCCCTGGGGCAGAGGAGTGGGGGGATTTCATCAGATCCTCCCCACTCTGCACCAGATTAATTTTGAGCTTCTGAAGTGAATATGGTATTTGCTGATCCGAGATGCCATTGAATTCGGTTGTATTCATTTCTTGCCTGACCATCCTAGCAAAAGGGGGGCTCCTTGAAAATGTAGTTGTCTGGGAGGGGTAGGCTTGTTGTTCTTTGACCAAAAACCAAATTCTCCATGTCACATTTGTTCCTTTTGGAAAACCGAGGACCGAGGAGAAAGGGAGAGGGAAAGGAGAAATCTGTCCCTGAGAAATGCGGATACAAAAGGCATTTTAGTAAATAAGACTAGGGAACCAGGCGCAGGCAGGGCTTGGGGGCTGTGTGTGTGTGCAAAGGGACTGACTAGGGAATAAACAGCCTTTTGGGAGCCCCAGCTCTAGGGAGTCCCCTTGTTTTACAAGCCGCCCCATCTCCACTCCCCCCTTCCGCAGGTCCCAGGGGCCAGCGGGGAAGACACTGAAACCAGTTCTCTAAATTACACCCCGCCTCTCCCCAGTCTCCAGCCCCCTGCATTCCGGAAAACTTTAATTAAAGAATCTTCCCCTCCTGGACTAGGAGAGACTCGGCCTGGGGGTGGGAGGTGAGGAGGAGGAATTTGGGATCTGTGAGGAAGAAGGGGGCTGTGGCCCCTGAGGTGAAAGTCAGAGGGACGTGCCGCCAGGGTACAGTGCTGCCCGCATGCCCCACTCTCCCTACCTGCCACCCTGAGCCAGGAGCAGAGCCAGGGAGATTTGGGGGCCACACCCTGAGTCTTTTCCCAGTTGTTTGGGGGTGGCAGCATTTGTGTCTGGGTGTTTGGGGCCCCCAGGAAGAAAGGAGGGACAGAAGCAGGAAAAGGGTATAGCCAAGGGACTCTATTTAGAGGGTCCCAGAAGTTGCCCAGCCTGTCCTTCCCTGTGGCCTTGGGCTGGCCTGAGGCCTCTTGTACAAAAAGAAGCCCACAGGGTGGCCAGGGCAGCCAGGGATTCCAGGGCGGGGGAGGCTGCTTCACTGGCCATTCCTGACCCTCTTTCCATGCCTGGGCCAAGGCCATGCTGTTCTTGGCCTTCTCAGAAGACCCTGGCAGGGGAAGGGAGGGAAGAGGCTTGGTGCCCCAGAGGTGGCAGGGACTGCAGGAGAGAGAGCAGGCTCCCTGCCCTGTGCACTGGAGGAAGGCACTTTCCGGGGCAGTGCTGAGGGGAGGTGGTGGTGGTGGGTGTCCTTGTGTGATGGTGTCTAGGGGGCATCTGGATAGGGCCCACCCAACAGACAGAAGCTGTGGGAAAACATGGAAGGCCAAGACATGGGCCATAAGGTAATGCTAGACACAGGGGCAGACACGCTGCTTTGTCTGAGCCAAGGAGAGATTTTGTGTGTGTGTGTGTGTGTGTGTGTGTGTGTGTGTGTGTGTGAGAGAGAGAGACAGAGAGAGAGAGAGAGAGAGAGAGGGTGGGCAAGTTCAAGTGGACCCATGTGCTTGTCAGTGCCTGCGGCACCTGTGTGTGTGTGTGTGCACGCACGTGTGTGTGCATGTGTTATGGATCTAGGACCCTATGAAGTGTGTGGTCACTAGTGTGTTTGTGTGTGTAGGAGTTTTTGTGCCAGAGACTGGAAGACTGTGCATGTGGAATCGCGCAGGGTGTGCCTGGGGGATCCGTGGCCCGGGACAGGTTATGCTTGTGTCTCTGCATACAAGTGTCAGCAAGGGGCCGATTCTGGGATCCATGTGTATATGTGTGTGACACACAGAGAGAAAAGTCTAGAAGTATCTTTGCCCATGTAAAGGTCAGTGCCTGTTTGTGCTTGTGACGCTGTGCATGACTGTGTTGGTGACTGGGTATGTGAGTATGGTTCTCGTGTGTGCACGCGCACATGCTTTCACAGCAGTGTAAAGGGGAAGCCCCACAAACGTCTTTGTGTGTGATATCAGTGCTCATGGCCATGACCTGATTGTGTTTGTAAGTAGGAGAGTGAGACCTGTGTCCGTAGCTGTGTGAGTGCTGTGGCTAGGTCAGCTTGTGATCCTGTCCCCAAGTGACAGTGATGTGGCTGGACTCGTGGACTGTGTGTCCGTGGATGAGTTTGCAGATGTCTGGCCTGTGGGTATGAGCGACACCTGAGCTGGTGTGCATGTTGGAGATCAGTTCTTCTAGAGGGAAGGTCCAGCAGGAAGCCAAGGTCTCAGAAGGTGGCTGTAGGGCACAGCTGACCTGGGATCCCATGCTGGGGTGGGGGGACAATGTTCTTTGACATCAGCTTCTCCTATCTGCTTGTGGACTGCTGTCACTGGCCCTGTTCTCTGGGGTAGTTTGATCTTGGGGTTGGGGTAAAGGATGAGTCCCCTTCTTAGGGCTGGGACTGGAGAGTGGATGAGCCTCAGATTCCTGATCCCACTCTGCCCCCAGGCAGTCAGATTCCAGACCTTTGAGGATGGAGGCCCCTTGTGGCCTGCCCTCTTTGGCTCACCTAGCACAACATTCCCCAAGAGGGATTTACAGGGAAGTCACTTAGCTGGGATTTCTGTCCTTGCAATCCTGGGGAGAGAACCCCATTCTCAGGAGCCTGCCTTATTCAGGCCCCAGCCTTGAGAGAGGGTAGACAGAAGGGCCCCGACAAATGCTTCTGAAAGGAAGTGGTATGCTCCAGGCCCTCCCAGCCAGGTAGTTGGGGGCACTGGGACAGGAGGCAGTGACAGCAGCTCTGATTTCTAGAATTCTCCTTGTCAGTTCCAGTTAGTGCCTAGTGGAGAAACTTGTCTTTCTTCTCCTTATTGGGGGAAAAGGAACCTACCTTCCCAGGGCCCAGCCCAGTCCCTGCTACGTTCCAGAGCAGACACCCTGATGGAAGAGGCCTGGGCTGGGTGGGGTCAGCGGCTCACGGAGCTGTCACCGTCACTCAGGGCCACGACCCCTCACCCCACCTGGCTTGGAACTGTCTTCTCTTCTTTCACCCAGGACCACCAGCACACCCTGCCTGGAAGCTTGAGGGAGGGTGTTTTGCTCAGGACACGGAGTGAGCTGGATAATAGGCCACCCGGGTTTCATTCCACCACCCTGACACATGCCCCCACTCAAGCGCCTGCCCCATGCCCTGCCTCAGTTTCCCCATGTTTCAGATGTCCTGCTGCCTTCCCCATCCATTCCCACCCCCACCTGTCTCTCAGAGGCTTGTGAACATGTTCAGTCAAACCCCGTGGGGGTCAGTGGGCTGGGCCCAGGGAGGCACCTGGAGACTGCGGGGGAGGAAGGCCCCAGGCCAGGTGTTAACACTTGTAACAGGCAGGAATTACAGCTGGCTGGGGCTGGGGCTGGTGAGGAGGAGTGAGGCTGGCTGGAGGCTGTTGATCCCACAGACAGACAGACAGACAGACAGATGGGCAGATACGAGATCGGATGACCAGGGTTGAGCAGGGTGGTCTCTCTTCCAGGACAGACTTTGCCCTGGAGGGATGTGACAGGTAGGTAGAAATGAATGAAGGTCTCCTGGAAGTGAATTCATGGCCCTCCTGCCCACCCTACCCCCTGTGGTGGGAGGGGCTTTGGGGTCCAAAGGGAACAAAACTGTGGTTAATCTGTTGATATTCTTCCCATGGGATCACATTTTGCTTAGGAAAGAAAAAAAGGAGGGGGGAAGGAAGGAAAGAAGGAAGGAAGGAAACAGGTCAAACAGTAAGAATTCTGGGAATAACAGCCTTGGGAAAACTTCTTCAATATATGGGGGCAAGGATGGATGAAGGGGCAGTTGTCAGGGCAGATTCTCTTTAGAGGCCAGAGGTGAGCACTGGGTAGAGCCTGAGCCCTCTGTTCTTAGCATTACCCCATTTGCAAGTCGGGGATCCTGAGGGTCTGGGTCTGAAACTTCTGCCCTGCAATTAATCCTGCCTGTGGGAAGACCTTGGGGGGCCAGAAGAGGCAGGAGCTGGACCTGGGTGCCAATCCTTCAGCAGGTACTTGCCACAGCAGCAAACCCAGGCAGACCTTCCTATACCCACACTCTCTGGCATCTAGGTATCTGCTCAGCCACTGAGAAGTTGGAGACTCTGAGGCAGACAGCGCCAGGTGGAAATCCCCAGAGAATAGACTCCACCAGGCTCACGTGGCCCAGCCCACTTGCTGCAAGCTTCACACTAATAGATACTCATGGAACTTTGGGCAGATGTAGAACTAAGAAGGTGGCATGGCAATGGGGCGGCAGGGGGAGGAGCTGTGACACTGGGGTTTTCTCTAGACCTAGAAGATCACTCTTTGGTCTGGGTAGAGGACAAGGAGCCTGGGGACGAGGCAGGAAAGGTGGTTTTTCTTAGAGGTTGCATCTAGCAAGCCCTTCCAGGGAAAGGGTGAATTTTTTGGCCTTGGAATGGAATGAGGTGAGCCAGGCACTGAGAAGGACCTTTTCCCACCACCCTACAGGAGCCTGGCTCCTTCCAAAGCCACGGAGGAGAGAAAGACACTG